CCCCTGTTGGCATGGGTGGCTCAGACCGCCGCGCGTAACACCAGCCCAGTGCAGCAGCATGGCCGCCATGGTCAGAGCATGCATGCCACTCCGCACCCCTCCTGCCGCCGCGTCCTCCACCGCCACCGCGCCCGCTGCCCCGAGCAAGCCGCGCTCGAGCGCCCGCGTGCTCGTGCTCGGCGGCACCGGCCGCGTCGGCGGCTCCACGGCCACCGCGCTCTCCAAGCTCCGTCCCGACCTTAACATCCTCATCGGCGGCAGGAACCGGTAACTGCCACATCCTTCAGTTCACTCGCATTCCATCAGCAGATCAGCTGCAAATGAGAACCGCCTCTTAGTTCGATATATAATAAGTTAGCAGCTTGACACATTTGAGCCAATTAATATATAGTTTCGCTCTGTTCATATATGCCTTATAATTTGCCAGGGAGAAAGGTGAATCTTTGGCATCTGAGCTTGGCGAGCAATCCGAGTTTGTGAAGATTGATACTGGCAACGCAGCCATGTTGGAGAAAGCGCTAGAGGGTCAGTAATGCAAATTATACCAAAACTTGCTAATGTTGTGCTTCATTGAGACAGACGTGTAATTTTCCTCCACGGGGCTCGGGACATATAACTGACTAATGGTTTGAACTTTCCCCAGATGTGGACTTGGTTGTTCATACTGCCGGGCCTTTCCAAAGGGAGGCTGAATGCACCGTCCTGCGAGCGGCGATTTCGACTAAGGTGGCTAAAAACATCCTGTCCCTGAGGACAACTGCATAAGTTTTGCGGCATCCCTTGAACTTGGTGATATTTTACTTAATAACTGAAATGGCCGTTGGCTCACTTAAGTTTTTGTGAACAGACCGCATATATCGATGTTTGTGATGATATGGACTATTCATGGAGAGCCAAAGCTTTTCATGAAGAAGCAAAAGCTCAAGGTGTTCCAGCTATTACAACCGCTGGCATATATCCTGGAGTGAGCAATGGTATTACTTCACATTCATGGCATACAACACCATCAATTTGACTTGCTACTTTTTTCATCCACATCTCCAGTAATTGCTATATGCTCTTTGACTTGTTTCCATTCGTTGCCACAAATGTCCATGTTTGCTGTTGCTCTACTGCGTAACTTGATAGTAGTAACTAAAGACAATGACATGCTATTCCAAAGTAATGCTCGGTGCAATGTTTCTTTAAACAGTACCCAAATGGAAAGAAATTGCATGAATCAAAGCTAGTGCTGTAAAAAGGTGGAACACGGTAACTGTGAGCGGATTCACCAAATTGATTCGTGTCATGTATTCATATGTCAAAGTCGAAAGATACGTACACGTGAAGCTGTCGGAAACTATGTTAATATAAATTGCAGTGTTACATAACTACCATGTCCTCATGTAACCAAGGAACGAAGTACTAAACTAGATCACATATGCATTATTCCATTACGAAAGTGTGTGTGGTTTTTATGGACCGCGATGCTTCATTTAAGGAATAGCTGCAGATATCGAGAACGAGAAGAATGCCACATCTTAAACATTTAGTGCTTATTCGTGTGCTGTATTGTTTTCTAACAGTGATGGCTGCTGAGCTTGTGAGTGCTGCAAGAAGTGAAGATGGAGAGCCTGAAAGACTAAGGTTAGGGGAGTTCTATATTTTCTGGAAAAGGAAAAAAAAATCAAATTAGGCATTAAGGACAGAAGGGGCGGTTTGATTTGACTCTCGATGCATCTATTCATGTCAGACCTTACTACTTACTAGTATTCCTACGGGCTCATATTTATGGCCACATTGCTAAATCCTTTTTAGATTCTTCTATTATACTGCAGGCTCTGGTGGTGCTGGCCCAACAATATTGGCGACAAGTTTTCTGCTTCTTGGGGAGGATGTAATTGCATATAACAAAGGTATTTTTGAAATTTTCGTTAATAATCACCTATGGTCTTCCTCGGTGAGGATGAAAAGATGATGAATTCATTCTAATTACCTATTTAGGAGAAGAAATCAAATTGAAGCCCTACAGTGGAGTTCTCAACATTGATTTCGGAAAAGGGGTCAGAAAGAGAGATGTTTACTTACTGTAAGTACTTTGGGCATTATCTTATAATTGACAAACCAGAAGCCAGTGTGGTAAAAAAAATGCACTACTATTATTTATCATAGCTTGCCTTTTGACATACCGCAAATGCATTGTCGTCTATTTCAGGAATTTGCCTGAAGTGAAGAGTGCTCATAAATTTTTAGGTGTCCCAACGGTCAGTGCTCGATTTGGTACTGCTCCTTTCTTCTGGAATTGGGGAATGGAGGCTTTCGCTAAATTTTTACCTGTTGTATGTATTCTTCCCAGTTCTCAGTTATCTCTTTATGAAGTTCCTTCATTCAAGCTCACATTGCTATTCTAGTGATACCAATTGAAGATATTGGAAGTTGCAAACATATAGTAGCATGTATTTTCCTGCAATTTAAGCAATTAACCAATACGATCTGTGTCAATGGGATGAAAAAAAGTATCAATATTAAGGATGTAGTTGAGCTGGTACCAGTTTGCAGTATATATACTTGACTTCAACTTGATCCTTTTTAGGAGTTGTTAAGGGATAAAGATAAGGTTGGAAAGTTGGTTAAAGAAATTGATCCCCTTGTTCGAGCCATTGATGGCATTGTAGGAGAGCGTGTGTCCATGAGAGTAAGTATTTCCTTTATCTCTATTTCAGAATTGTATTCAAGTCATTGTAATGTTATTCAAGTTGTGTCTACAGTAAGAGCATACTACTCGTACTCAAGCTGTATCTACAGTAAGAGCATACTACTCGTACTCAAGCTGTGTCTACAGTAAGAGCATACTACTCGTACTCAAGCTGTATCTACAGTAAGAGCATACTACTCGTACTCAAGCTGTGTCTACAGTAAGAGCATACTACTCGTACTCAAGCTGTGTCTACAGTAAGAGCATACTAGTACTCACGTAGGGTCTGTAGTAAGAGCATACTAATTCCACTGAAGCTGTGTCCAGAGCAGTACGCGAAACTACTGATGATATTGTTGGATCAAACTTATTTTGTTTGTGCAGGTAGACTTGGAGTGTTCGAATGGCCGAAATACTATTGGATTATTTTCTCATAGAAAACTATCTGTGTAAGTGCACATTTCTGGATGAGCAATTGAGCATGCTCAAAATCCGTTACCTAATTGATATTTACCATTAGTTATTTCCAGCTATCAGATTATTTGCCCATCGTCTGTATTGAGCCTAACATTAATTTCCTCCAAGTAAAGCAGAGTCCCAGGAAATTATAGTCGGCATTCAAGAGTTTCCATTGGTTTCAAAACTTGTTTAGGTGGAAACAATTCTATAATCATGCCTATTTAAACTGAGAGATCATCTACCTAATGAGATTTCTTTATCTGTTCTTAATACTTGAAATGATCGATGCAGATTTCATGCAATACCTGTTACAACACAACTGTCAGAAAAAGTTATACTCAGAACTTACAACTCAAATCCTAGGAATTTATACTCGAGATTTAGGCAATATTTACTGTATGGCTCATTTTACAAGTTCTGGTGTACTTTTCAGTTCAGAAGTACCCAATATTATTCTGGTCAATCTATCTACATCTCATATAAGCATCTTATGTTGGACTTGCAGATCGGTGGGCCATTCAACGGCTGCATTTGTTCAAGCAGTTCTGGAGGGAAGCACACAACCAGGTGTTTGGTTTCCGGAAGAGGTGAGTAGTGCTCCGATAGAAGGAAAACTAATGGAATAGTTGCAAGAAAAAAATTCCTTCGCGCCTCACAGAAATAAGAGAACTTAATTCATACTTTCTAAGATCATCTCAATTATTTGTAATGCAGCCAGAGGGAATAGCAATTGAATCAAGGAAGCTGCTTCTGGAGCGTGCGTCCCAAGGAACAACAAACTTCGTGATGAACAAGTGATTTCCTCTACCCGATTTCACAATTTTAAGTGGTTAACTCGTAATGTTTATGTAGCTGACATAGTTATATCACTTGGATTGGCAGGCCTTCATGGATGATAGAGACTGATCCAAAGGAAGTTATCCTAGGAATATACGTGTGAGAAAGAAACTGAAAAAGAAAACGCACACACACGCACACAGTAAAACATGGATAGATCAGTTTATAACTCTATCCTAATTTTGTCGATCGAATATTGGAGAAACTTACGGAAGTTCTGGAGTTATTACCGAGGATAAAAAGTAGCCACAATTAGTACGGTGTAGACTGCAGCAAGGAGAATCCTCTCCATAACGTTCCTGTGTGACATTTTAGAAAATGCTGTAAATAACATAATGATCAATATATGTAGCATTACAAAACTGCAACTGAGAAAGGACATGCTAGCATATTTGACAAGTTGGGGAAGGAATTCATGAACAGTACGATGATAGAACATAAGAGTTACTCCCTCCGTTCCGTGTTATAAGATGTTCTAACTTTTTTCTGAATCACATGTACATAAATGTGTTTTAGTGTGTGTTTTTTGAAGAACGTGTTTGGTGTGCTTGTTCATTCATTTCAGCACGTATATAGTCCATATTGAAATATCTAAAACTGATTCGGAACAGAGGTGATACTATACATTATTGCGAGGAAAAGGCTTCAGGAAGCACCAGAAACTCCATTGGATACTTGTGGAAGGGGAAGAGCACACAAAACAATGGATATTATGATGGAACCAACAAATATATGACATCACATGGTTTAATACAAATTTGTGCCAAGACAAATCTTGGCTATAAGTTCCCACCTTACATCATAACATTCCATACAAGCGAAATAGATGTATTACTACTTTCGGAGGTAGATTAATTTACATGAACAGGCAGCAAGCTAATAAGTGGATTAAGCAGCAAATCGTCACAACCAGTCGACCAACCTCTTTCAGAGGTAGATTAATTTACATTAAGAATTGCATGGAACACACTGGTAAGGAAATTGAGCAGCAATCCTCACAAAGACAAATTGACAAACGGCAATACCGCAGCTAAATACGGCTGTCCTTTTTAGCGAGTCCCCCTTCCCCTGGTAACTCTGGCGAGCCTCCTGGTGTTGCCGCTTTAGCAAGCTCACCTTCCCCTAGTAGCTCCGGCGAGCTTCCTGGTGTTGCCGTTTTAGCAAGCTCGCCTTCCCCTGGTAGCTCCAGCGAGCCTCCTGGTGTTGCCGTTTTAGCAAGCTCCCCTTCCCCTGGTAGCTCCGGAAAGCCTCCTGGTGTTGCCATTTTAGCAAGCTCCCCTTCCCCTGGTAGCTCCGGCGAGCCTCCAGGTGTTGCCGTTTTAGCAAGCTCCCCTTCCCCTGGTAGCTCCAGCGAGCCTCCTGGTGTTGCCATTTTAGCAAGCTCCCCTTCCCCTGGTAGCAGCGGCGAGCCTCCTGGCGTTGCCGTCTCCGGCTGTGTGGCCCCTTGAGGAAGAGCAGGAGTGACATTGTTCACCCAGTGCTCTACAAGCCTTTCCACAGGCACCTTGATCACATCACGGCGAACACCCATGTCTGACACATATCGCCCCACGCAGTACATGCCGCTTGTCACAATTGCCAGACCGCTAGCACTAGTTGTCAGGAAACGCAGCGGCGAAGAAGCCACCGCGCTGAAAGCAGCCGTCAGGGACGCCAGCTGCCCACTGCGCCCAACGCTGTAAGCAGTCTCGACGAGCAGTTCCGTCTTGCAGTATATCGCGAAGTCCTCACAGTTGTTCTTAAACAGGCTATACATGCCAAAGCCATTGTTGAGGAGGTGTTTGGCACGGTGGACAACAAGCTGCAGCGTCAGAGGGTGCCATAGTGCACGTTCCTCCACGTGCTTTGGCGAGGAAGAAAGGGGGCGACACAGCATAGTCGAAGAGGTAGAGACTGCCCCCGTCCAGGAAGCAATCGAGACAGGACATTATGACGCCCTGAGGCTTGATGAGGTGCCCACATTTCTCGCAAGGAGGGCCATCTGCCGTAGTCGGCGATGAGCTGAACAGAAACTTGTCTAAGAATGTTCCTGTTCCAATTTCATGTCCAGCCGCTCTCGTAAAATGGATAACCATTCCATCTCCAGCATATATCCCTGAAAAATGGAAGATCAAACTAGTCAGTACTACTGTATTATTTATGACAACATATTAGCACATGTGTACAAGACATCACGAACAAGTATTGCAGTAAGGAGCTTATGCATGGAGAAAACTAGCAAGCACAGGCAGCACGAGCGTGAGTGAAATGCGGCTTGAGAAGGAAGATAGCAATCTATAAGATGCCATTCAAAGCCCACTAGTCAAGAAAACGGCAAAAGCTTTGCAGGCCTTTGTATTACATAGAAATTAGAAAGCGGTCGAAAGCCAAATTACAAATGCACGGGATGGCCAAAGCTTGCCGTAGATTCTTAACAGTCCAGAACTCCAGATTGAACAACCACACGAACAATTTCTGCTATATCTGAGTCACATAAAACTTGCCAACCCCTTCGCGCCAGCCTGACCTGAGTGCTTGCCTCACTAGGATCCTTGATGCCACATCCAACATAGCAGAGGAGATCCTACCCAAAACTCCAGATATACCAGACGACCATGATTACCGTGGTGTCTGAAAAATCATGTGTTCCCCTTCTGGATTCGCATCCGCGCCCCATCCACCATGCCTCCAGTGGTGCTGGTGCTGCTGGGTTAAAGGAAAGGTGGCCAATCGTGCTGCGCTGAAGCATAGGCATCCACAGTTGATGAACCCAGACGCACTCTGCGAAGCAAGAATGAGCCGATCCTTCTTCGCTGAAGAGCAACACTTGCAAGAGCATGGTTATTGGGAACAACCCTCCTCATCACTCGACGAAAATCTTCCTCAACGGGGGCCAGCCCAGCCCAGACCCCCGTCGCAATCTGTAGCCGGCAAACCTAAGTCCCCATTTAGGTAAAAGGCATTGCAGAGGGAGGCCGCCGAATAGTCTGATTCAGAGATGAGGACATCTATTGTTGCAGGGCGTCTTCAAGGTGACCGTCATTTGACGAAATTTTTCCTCAACAGGGGGGGCAGCCCAGACCCACGTCGCAATCTGTAGCCGGCAAACCTAACATCTATTGTTGCAGGGCGTCTTCAAGGTGACCCCGGAGGACCAGGCGTGAGATTAATGGTGGCAGGGTGCTTAATTAATCCTCGGCCAACCAACGAACCAATTGACAGATATAGTTAGGGGAGACTGGTTGGGGGGGAAGAATGAGGGGATTACCGACCGTGGTGGGCGTAGATGTAGGCGGTTCTCCACGAGTAGATGTGATCCCCGGCGGCGAGGGCCTCCCGGTCCACCCGATTCGACAGCACCCCCACCATCGACGAATCCAGCACTGGGGTCGAAATCGAAATCGAGTTCCCCAATCTGAAACGGCAGAGATCACCGGGGCTAGAGCATTACAGTCATCCTCGTCGCGCAAGCCCTCGCCGCCTCGAACCCGCCCGAAGTGTCGCTTGCTTAGCGGCAAAGGATGCCCTGGCTGGATGAACGCGGATGGAGACGGCAATCGGTTAGGGCTGCTTGCTTGGTTAGGTTTAGGAAGGAAGCAAAGGGCACGAGAAAGCGGCCGTTGCTCCGGCGTCCGCGTCCGTGCCCCCGACCGCGACGCCCACGACTCTCTTCCTTGTCTAGCGCAAATTATACCTGGCCATCCGCCGGCCGGGCCCGACTAAGCCCGAGGTAGAAAACTCAGGCCCGAGCCCGGCCTGCCCCAGCCGTCGGGCCTACTTTTCAGGCCCAAGCCTGGCCCGCCACTACAAAGTCCGCCAGACCTCTTCAGTAAAGCGCAAAAACAGCGGGCCACGGCCCGGCCTGACCTTTGGGCTCAAAACCTAGGCCCAGGCCCGGTCCGGAAGCAGCGTCGGGCCGGGCTGCCCATGGCTAGGACTAAGCGCAATCACCTTTTCATTCATACGCTCTTATGTTTCTTTACGAAGAGAGTTTTTTTTCCAAAAATAATTTATTTTTATTTTTACAAAAGTAATTTTAGTTGTCAACCAGACTTTGCTAAAATACATTTAATCTTGAGTTTTATTTTAGGGAAGGCGCTCTAAATGTCGAGGTTGTGTGATATATATGCAACCTTGCGCCGCACAGGTTTATTGTCTACGGGTAAGATGAACTTGACACCCTTGAAGCTTAGGTCTCTTCCAATGCACAAGTGCTTAGATGAGATGCTAAACTCATTGAAGTGTTTAACAACTAAAGTCCGCAATGTGTATATGCTTAACTTGTTGTACCTAAGCTTTCTTTGTTTAATTATTTAACAGCTAAATTCTCTCCAACCTCGCAAGAAAAACCTAAATTCTCTCATGCATTGGTGAACTTCCTTTATTTAAGTGTTTTGTATAGATCCGCGTGCTTAACATTGTTTCTTCTTGGTTATTGAAGTGTTTTCTATCCTCCTTAATTGCTTTACCATGTTAATTTTTTTGCTTATGTGGCATGCTTAACACATGCACACCATGGAGCACTACGAAGGGCATACATTATGTTCTATGTAAAATCAATGTTGTGTTGACAAAAGGTGAAAAAAATACTTAATGACGTTGATAGATGATTTCACTAGATTTTGCTACCCGTATCTGTTCAAAACTAAAGATAAGGCTCTACACTACTTTACAACATGTAAAAGTTAAAAATTAGCTTGAAAATCAAATCAAACGAGTTAATTCAGATCGTAGTGGAGAGTACTTACCAAATGAATTCAACTCATTATGTGAGGACATGGTATTACTCGTGAGAGAATGTCTCAGCATTTACCTTAATTGGTCAAACGGAATTGTCGTACGAAAAAAAATTCATATTCTAGCATACTTGATTAACGTCATGTTAGATATTTCGGGTTTATGCAAGGCATGATGGAGAGAAAAAAATTGACATTTTACCATGTCTTGAAGGACTTTGTGATGGATAGCTAGTTTACCTTCCTTTTTTGTTCTTGACTATGCACTATTAAAAGGGTATAGTTGGGAGGAAAAGGACAAGCTCAAGTCATGATCAAGACACCCCATTTCCTAAAACGAACCCCACAACCAAATAGCTCAACGAATTCCCCAAGCCAAAAGTTGTAAAAGTGCAACTTCAAGTTGGTCGGAATCTCCATTCATGCATTTGCGGTGCCAGAAAAGGAGTTGTTTTCAATCGGAGCCCGCAATTTCCTCTGGGCCTTCTTGGGCTGGAGCCGAAGTCTCCGGGTCAGCCTCTGGTTGCTCTCGAGTGTGTACTGGAGTATCCAGGAAAGGGATTGAAGTCTCCGGGGTACCCAGTTCCCGGTTGGTGCTCTGGCAGCGGGTGATGACCCAGCTAGAGCCTTTGGCTCCTCTTCTTGCTGCTTTTGGGTTGGATCCGAGGCATCCAGGTACATCTGCCCAGAGCATTTAGGCCTGACTTCAAGGCCCGATGCTGACTCGCTATTTGGCACTGGCTCATCCTTCCAGAGCTAACCTTGTGCCTCAGGGCCATTTGGGTCAAAGCCTACATGTCAGGACCTGACATCAGAGATGTGTGCAAATATAGTCATTCCATCAGCAAATGCATATCAAAGATTCCAAGCCCCTCCACACAACATGCAAGTTATATACATACATGTAACATGCATGCTATGTGGGTGAAACAACATGTAACACAACATATAACTCTACAACAGAACTGCAACATATATAGACAACAAATTTGAAATAGTAAAGTTTTGCAAATTAACTAATACAAACAAGGATCTCACAATAAGTTGTAAATCTCAGAGCGGAAACATAAATATAACTTACACATGTAATTTTAACAAATGCCTTAGGAAGGCTAAAATAAAGCATATGGCGACCGTAATCCTCCCAGGCCACTGTCTAGGATAACCATAACTAACGTTGTCTTTCACCACTAAAGATCACATGTTCCAAATGCTACCATCTGTTTTGCATCATCCACATCAAAACAATAAATAAAGCAAGGTGAGTACAAAGGTACTTGCAATACTTACATCAGAATAATTCTAGATACACATGTGTTAATGAGGGCTATTTGTGGACCGTTTGAGCAGAAAGCAGCAAACCCTAATGCACTACTATAAGCAGAAGTGGAGCAACTATTGAGAGTATAAGATGAGAAACATGAGATTGAGTACCATCTATCCTCGACCACCACAACAATACACTACTATGAATACCCCCTCGACTCACCAGTTAGGAAGCAATCCATGGCACTCACACTACCTGGCAATTTTAAAGTATTCATTAAAGTTTTGATGATCAAGCGACAATCTCCAAGTCGTTCATAACCGCAGACACGACTATTTGAATAGATTAAAACCTTGTGGGGGCATACCAATTTACCATGCGTGCCTCGCTCTCTCTTAGCACCAGCACATTAAGGACGCTACCATCGTATGCCAACAAAGAGAGATCGACTACGACATTTCCCCTATGCTACAAACTAGTCCAGAGAGTCACCTACCTGACCTGGACCCAGATAGTGATTCCGCCTGAATCTTTGATGCACCCAACTCTTGCGCGCATGGACCAAGCCCATCCCATAAGACGATTTGTCCACTTGACAAGTTGTGCTGCATTCCTACCATACCATGTTGTCTCAAACTTGACCTTCTCCCAATAATGTTATTTCAGCATGATGTCTCTACTCCACTGGTGGCTCATTTCTAAGCCACTGTGCACTTGGGTTCGATGAGGCCAAGACGATGACTTGGATGTGTGGTCGTGAGAGGGTGTTTGCTCCTCTGTTTGTACTTTCTAGTCTACTTGGCTACGAGTATACCGCTATCTCTGTTGAGCGTGCCACAAGATTCACGACCGAGGTGTGTTTCTCAAGCATCTTGTAGCCTTTTATCCTGGTAA